TAAACAACCTCCATTCTAGTCTTTTGAAACGTTATTATCTCTGGACAAAACAGTTGAGGCCGCCATTTTGTAGGAGCCCGACGTTTCTCAGCTTCATACAGCGATAAGTGTTGTTGTTCTTGCAATAAAATTAAAAAACTGTGTGAGTGTTGCAGAAAAATGGATCCTCAGCGCTTTTATGGTAAAAAACGTAAGTATATTTTATAGTATCTTGTTTAATTAATCGGTCAAAGTTTGTTCCAAATTCGGAACAAAATGCAGCCAGGCGCTTTTTAACTGGCCAAATTTGGAACTTCATGCAATGTGTTCGTTAAACCCCCTTGGTCATATTTGGAACATTATGCAGTGTAATTACACTCGTCCTAGTTTTGATTATTTATATATGAACTCATCATCACTTCACTAAATATTATGAAACAAAGCCGTCGGCCACGTCTATCTGTCTGTCTGTTTACGAAAACTACTGCACGGATTTTCATGCGGTGGTCACAATAGATAGAGGGATTCTTGAGGAAAGTTTAGGTATAGAATACATCTCCGGGCGCGTCCGGGACGGGTTGCTAACTATATCTTAACCTAGAACTCAAACCTGGATGGCGAGGGCTAAATCCAGCCAGTCCCATCGAATTGACCAGTCTTTTTAGGGTTCCGTAGTATACGTCAAGGAACCCTTATAGTTTCGTCATGTCCGTCCGTCCGTCTGTCCGTCTTCGCTCTACCGTCCAAACTGTTAGCGCTAGAAAGATGAAACTTTGCATGGATATGTGTATTTACTACGCCGACAAAGTGCTAAAATAAAATTATGAAAAATGTTTTTTTCTGGGGTACCTCCCCTACACGTACTTAATGTGGGGATGATTTTTTTTCTGAAATGAATGTATAATATTTTTTCACAGGTCCTGCATTTTCCATCCCAGAGAGTAGTGAAGATGAGAAGGCATCGGATGATGAAACTTATAGAAACCCAGGTCCTGAGATTTTCATTCCAGAGAGCAGTGACGATGAAATCGCTTCAGATGATGATCGTGGAAATGTAGGTGAATTTGAAGAAATTTATTTAGATGACGACGCTCTTGATAATGATTGCGACGAATATATTCCTTATGAAACGGAAGAAGAAGATATCTCAAGCAAGCCTTCTACGTCAAAACAGCGCACAGGAAATAAGAGAAAGAAGGTTAAATGTGTATGGTCTGATGAAAGTATGGCGTATGACGAGTCACATATTGCGTTTTTAGGATGCCAAGATCTCCCAAATGAAATTATGAAACTCGAAGCGCCCATGGATTTCTTTAAATTTTTATTTCCTTCTTCAGCGATTAATTTAATTGTAAGGGAGAGCAACTTATATGCTGATCAAATCACCGAAAGCAACCACAATGAAGTCACGGAAGAAGACATACGTAAATTTTTAGGCATAATAATTTATATGTCTGTGGTGCATCTTCCAACAACACGTCATTATTGGAAGGAAGGTACATACATTGAAAAGGTGGCTTCAGCAATGACTTGTAACAAGTTTGAAGAAGTAAAAAGGTTTTTACATTTTTTTAACAAAAATGATGAGTTGGAGTCCGGTGATCCAAATTTTGACCGGTTACAAAAGATACGCCCTTTCCTTAATATATTGCGTGAAAGACTGTTACAAGTGCCTAAAGAAGAATACTTGGCAATTGATGAACAAATGATTCCTACCAAAGCACGTACTTCTGGTATGAGGCGTTATAATGCCAAAAAACCACACAAATGGGGCTACCTCAATTATGTGCTAAGCGGAGCCAGTGGCTTTAGCTACGATTTTGAGGTTGATACTGGAAAACACCCTGATCCGCCAGAGAACTGCCCTGAACTCGGAATACCAGGAAACATTGTCCAGCGTTTGTTAAACACTGTTCCTCAAAATCTTAATTATAAAATTTTTGTGGACAATTGGTACACTAGTTTGCCTTTGATGGCCAACTTGCATAAAAAAGGACTCCTTCCTTTAGGAACAATTCAGCTCAATAGAGCACCCAATATAAATATAGAAAAAAAAACTATTATGAAAGAAGAAAGAGGATATTGTGCGGAAAAATCTACCATTTATGAGGATGTCAAATTAACCGTTACTACTTGGGTAGACAATAAACCTGTTAGCCTGTGTTCTTCATACGTAGGCAAAGAACCCATGGCAATGGTGAAAAGATTTTTAAAGAAAAAAAGGGCCAAAATTGATATCCCTTGCCCAAAGGCTATTACAATTTATAATAAATATATGGGCGGCGTAGACTTATTAGATTCTATGCTAGGTTTTTATAGGATTAAAATTCGAAGCAAAAAGTGGTATCACAGATTGTTCTTCCATTTTATAGACCTAGTCTGTGTAAATAGTTGGTTATTGTGGAGACGTAGAACCAAACAAAAAGGTGAAGACATGTACATACCCTTGCTGGATTTTAAATTAATGGTGGCAGAAATTCTGATGCAAGAAGATGCCAGAGTTTTTACACCAACTCGCAGAGGACGACCGCTAAATGCAAATATAGAAAATATTAAAAAAGACAAAAAACGACGCCGCATTGAATTGCCTCCTGTTGAAGTAGCCGAAGATGGCTTTAATCACTGGCCGGAGTGGAATACTGACCGACAAAGGTGTAAGATGGTCGGCTGTGGTCAAAAAACCCAAGTAATGTGTACTAAGTGCAAATGTTATTTATGCTTGAATAAGGACCGCAACTGTTTTAAAAAATTTCACATGTCGCATGATTGAATAAATAAATTAAAATTCATAAATGTTTGCTTTCGCATAGGTTTTTTTGTATTATTTTTAATAAACTAATTTCTTAAATGTATGAAAATATTAAGTAAATATATTTTTATGTAGTTTTAATTAATTGAAGTAACTTAATTTAAAAAATTGATTAAATATAAATAATTTAATTATAAAATCTATATGTATAATAATACCTATATAAAAACTTCACAATTTTTAGTAATCATATTTTTGACATTTTTCTAATAAAATAAATTTGCAATTATATTGATACGACGTCACATAAGTATTTAATTTCTTAAAATATGTTTTTATTTAGACATAAATTTGAAATTATGACCTTAAAAAAAACATGCTTATCCAAAAGTAGAACACACTGCATGATGTTCCAAATATGGAACACGTACAATTATAAGCTTGAATGCATATCGTTCCAAATTTGGAACCAAAACTTTGGATATTTTTTTTGTAATGAATAATACCTCGATTTTTTTTTAAATATTTTTATATCAACAGGTATAAGGTATAGAACTAAATATTTTTTTTTAAGTTGATTTAAAAATTCCATGCGGTAAAGGTTTAAAGTGATTAAAAAACTAGTTTAGGTAGTTTATTTATGTAGGTTTACGTAATTACGTATGATCAAGATTTTTTCAAAACTAATGGATGTTATTTAAAAATATATTGACATTAGATTGAAATATCTTGTATCTAAAACTGCGATCGAGCAATCAAAAGAACAATCATATAATAAGTTAACCCTTTTTATGAGACAGTAAATTTTTGTGTTTTGTTCAATAAATATCGTTTTGTAAATTTGTATCTGTGTTTTATTGATCTGCTAAAACCTACCTTTAATTATTTACCTACTTATTATTATATTTACTAAATACTTACCTAATTTAAACTAATAACTTAACCCTCAAACCCTACTCGGGGTGCTGGAGCACCCCACAAAGTTTATTTTTCTTATTTATTTCGTTGATTGATAATGCACGTGTTTGACTTTCCGCGTATTTTACTTTGAGGTTACGCGCCACGGATTGGCCAGTGTCGCGCAAGGAACATACTACTCTCTAGGTGTCGAGGCGACAGCCGGCTGTTGTAGACGTGTGTATAACCTGTCGGAAATATCTGCGAACCTCGCTGGAATGCGCTTCCCCTCGCGCTTCCCCGCACCTCCGCCCGTTATCGTCTATCCAGTACCGTTGCCATCTCTCCATATTGCATGACGTCATCAAGCCAGGTTCGCAGATATTTCCGACAGGTTATACGTGTGTCGTTGGGTGCTGTAGCACCCCAGTTTATGAACAACGAAGTTTTTAAAAAATTTATAAAACAAATTTTTTAAGCTTACTTCTATAGTTGAACTATTTTATTATAAACGTATAGATTGCGGTTCAAACATTTGATTATAGAGCTTATGTTGTAAAATAAAACATAACCTATACAATTCAATTTTACTTAATTTTTCCTTTAAAATTCAAATATATGTATTGCACAACAGTATATTTTTCAATGTTTTTAGTGTTTTTACGTTATGGTTTGCAGATGGCTGTGGAAGGTGGACAGAATGATGAAGAAATACGTCTCATAGTAAATCAGGAAGCAAGTGACGAGGAAGACCTAGTTTTTCGTGGTTCAGTTACAGAAGATTCTGATGATGAACCTGATGGTGTTTTAGAAGATTTTCGTCATATGAATGTGATTGGTCAAACAAATAATGAAGAGGATGCCTTTAGTAGCGATGAAGATATGACTTTGCAAGAGCTATCTCAGGATTTAAGAAGACAAGGAAAACTAAAGGTATTGAATGTTCCAAGAGTTCTTTACGGGAAAGGATAAAATAATAGACACAAGTCGAGTGGAGAAAAGCCAGTGAGGTGTAGAACTCAGCAGCGCAACATTATTATGCATTTATCTGGAAACAAAGGTGAAGCGAAAAGTATTACAAAGCCAATAGAACGTTGGGCTCTCTTTCTAAATGACGAAATACTAAATAAAATTGCATATCATACAAATAAAGAAATTGAAAAACAACGTAAGAAATATAAAGGCTTTCAGGAGGAAGAAGATGGTGAAGAGAATATCGCCTCGTCCAGTTTACCATCATTTGTAAAACCAGTATCATTGGTAGAGTTAAAGGCTTTAATTGGGCTTTATTATCTCGCAGGAGTGTTTAAAATGAACGACATAAATACCAAAGAGTTGTTTGACAAATTTACGGGTGATGCTTTTCAGAGCCACAATGTCTCGTTGTCGATTCGAGTTCTTGACAAATTGCCTTAGATTTGATGACAGAGACACACGCGAAGAACGTCGAGCTACCGATCGCTTAGCTCCGATTCGTGAAGTGTTTGATCAAATTGTAAAAAAGTGTGACAAATACTACGCACCAACTGATTGTAGTACTATCGACGAACGATTATCAGCTTTTAGAGGGCGCTGTGTCTTTAAAATGTACGGGTATGTATCAAAGCCCGATAAGTACGGGATAAAAATTTTGATGAACTGCGATTCTAAAACAGCTTACATGTTGAAAGCCATTGTTTACGTAGGTCAAACACCCTCCCCTCAAAATATGTCAGTGCCTGAGTACTACGTTATGGAACTCTCCGAGCCATTGTATGGATCCCATCGGAACATAACCATGGACAACTGGTTCACCAGCATACCATTAGCCAAAAATCTGATTGGAAAGGAATTGACCATGGTCGGAACGACGCGAAAAAACAAAGGAGAAATACCAGAGTCCTTTTTGGTGTTAACAAACAGAGAAAAAAATACCGCTATGTTTGCGTATGATGGACCTCTAACTCTGTTGTCCTATTGCCCACCGAAATCGACAAAGAAAAAAGTCATCATCATGTTGTCAACTCTCCACGATTCCCCAGATAACAATGAAGTTGAGCTTCCAGAAATTATTCATTTTTATAATAAAACAAAGGGAGGTGTGGATGTGTTCGATGCAATGGCTAAAAAATACTCTGTCCAAAGAAGAACCAAACGTTGGCCAATGTGCATTTTCTATGGGTTATTGAATGGAGTTGGTATTAACTCTTGGGTTCTCTACAAATGCTCAAAAGCAAATAATAAGCCTGACATAAGGCTTCGTCGGAGTTTTCTAAAAGAATTGGGAATGAATCTTATGGATGAACATTTGAAAATGCGCCTACAAACACCAACTTTGAAGAGGGATATAAAGGAGAGTATCGCGGCGATTCTAAAGCAACCCATGCCTGTCGATTCTTCTGGGTCTGAACGTCACGCACAGGGGCGTTGTGGTTTCTGTCCGAGAAACAGGGATCGGAAGAGCAAGACCAGGTGCACCAAGTGCAAAATTCCAATTTGCTTGGAACACCAAGTTAAAGTATGCCAAAAGTGCTCAAATTGATGTGTAATGTAAAATTTTAAGGCTGATTCGTGATCTCATAATGTCAATTAATATAAATAAAAGTATAATTTTCTATAAATGTTTTTATTTCTATACTTTACTATTTTATTTTGGGGTGCCTTGTCACCCCTGTGTACAATGACGCATAGGCGTCAATATTGGGGCATCGCTATTCAACCGCTCTATGTATCTGTATCTATAGAACATCTGCTTAACCGGTTCAGTGCGGGTGGCACGCCAGGCATGCCATCGATTACTTTTGTGTGTGGCGTATGACACGCGAGTCGTATCTTTTTAAAAATCGTTATAACTCGCTCAAATTGCTTTTTGGAAGATTTATCCAGAACAAAATATTCATTATTTTGCAAGTAGTTCATGCCTGCAGCTGCGTTTCTGGATATTTTGAAAATTTGAAATTTTTAGGGGTTGACAACCTTTTTTTAACGTGTACATGGTACTATTTTTACTTTGTGGGTTTTAAATCATGTTGTGGAAAAATAGTCTAATAAGTAATAAATAATAGCACTCATTGCGATCGCTCACAAACTTAAGTTGTAAATAAATTTCTGGAAAACGAGTATCCTGTTAAAAAAAAACAATGCGTTTGTCTTATTGTATAATTTTGCTTAAAATGGTTGAACTGCCGTCTTATTACTATCATATGGCCGAATATATCTACGAAGTACCATGTGCTCTTGTGATATGGTATAAGGTTTATTTTTGCTTGAAACAGTTCGAAACCGTTCATACTTAAAACAAAAGTTCGCTAATAAATAGTCTTTTGTCAATCCGCCGCCGTATAGCGCCGGTGTTTTTTCCTTTTGAAAACACTTGTTTTGCTATTCTTACTAATTAGACGTTTTCAGATCGACTTTACTTTTACATCTGTATAACATTAAATAATAATTAACATTTGTAAATATCAATGAATCATAAACCTCATTTTTTTCCAAATTAAGGTTCTTCATTGTTTGATATTTACAAATGTTATTATTAGATGAAAATTTAATTTATAAAAGGCAAGGTTTTCCAGGGTGATTTAGCTGTACCTACTTATATAAATTATTTTTTTATAAAACAAAAAATAGTACAAAAGGTTTGTAATCTCTGCATAAAAGTCATTTACTCTCAATTTCAAACAAAACACGTAGAAAAACATGTATTTATTATTAGTATTATATTTTTAGTATTATATTTATATTTAGTATTGGCGCTTGACGCGACAGGCGTGTCACGAAATATATGTTCGCCGCCACAGCTAAAAGTTGTCGAAAATCGGCGCCGCAACGAATCGGTTAAGTTTGCCGTAATGGTCAAAGGGCGATAAGCGCGCTTTATATCTTGCTAATGTATGCGCTGAGGTAAAAACTTTCGACACACAACATGCAAATTAGATATATCTCGAAATCTCATATGGGTATATCGTTAAAGTTTAGTTATTACTAAATCCGATTATGTGACATTATTGCAGGATAAAAAAAGGTATTAAATATCACTTATAGCCTCAATTTGGTCTAAGCAAAGGCACCTTTAAAAAAAAATGTTATAACATGTGACCATTCTTTAAAAAACTTAATACTTATCCAGGGATTCCTTTACCTAACATCTAAATATTGCTTTTATTTCCTGTCAAATCTAATTCGAATATATAACAATAATGATTATAAGCCACATAATACGTTACTAAGTTATTTTCTATTCATTTCAAGCCTGTATCTACACATATTTTATTTTCTAATTCATTTTTTTAAATATAATAAGTAAAAAACCTTCTATCCTTTCGTGTCTTTAATTAATTATATCTTTAAATAGATATTTATTTATTTATAGAAATTTAAATAAACAAGTGCTTCTACAGCTAACTAGAGACGGTCCTATTTTCTTAACTGTTACTAGAATTTTCAAAGTATCTATTTTACGATATAAGTATAAATATATTTCAATTTACACCAAGATGAGAAAACAGAAGAACTGTAAGTGTAGCATCTCTTACTCATCATCAGTTACAAATAAAACGTTAATTTAATACAGTTAACAAAAATGAAACAAAAAAAAATGCTACTTTTGTGTTGCCATTATAATTAGAAATATTATATTAAATTATATGTAATAAATATATTTATAACATTTAAAATAATCCAATAATGTCAATATTAAAATCAATGAACAATACAATTGCTTTGAATAAATTGCCAAGTTATTTTGTAGTGATGGTATATTGTAGTGATCCTTGCTTATCTTCAAAAAACTTTAGAATACCTAAAGATTTTAATGCCTCTGATTATTATTTATTACAACATTTATTTTTTTTATTAAATAAAGACAGTGCCACGTTCATTGTATAATATAAGTGATGCTGAAACCATGCTCGACTTGCATGCACTCACGCACACATTTTTCTTCTTTCTTTCTTTATGAGAAAGTAAAAGCACTGTCGGACGCGCACTTATGCACCAAAAAGCATGTTGTAGGTTGCAAATGCTTTTAGGTGCAATGTGTCCGTGAGTGCTGCGTCAGAAATAATGAGTTGAACATGGTTTTGTTTGACCAATAAGGCAATTTTTATCGAGTACTAAACAATAGGTAGGTATTATTAGTAGTAGGTAACAATAGGTAGTATTAGGTATATAAAAGTAAATTGTTTGCTACAACGAAATGTTTAAGGAGTTTTGTTGGCAAATACCTGAAAAAATAAAGACTAGACTCCAGTTGAGTATCATAAACAAAGCGTTTTCAGCCGTGCGGGTAGTTTTCAATAAAAATAAAGTCCAAATTAAAGAATTTATATAATTAAGAGAAACGTAGTGGAAAGCAGTTGAATTAGTTGAAGAGAAATCTCTGACGGTAATGTAATCCCATTTCTTTCATCTTCGTGAGTGTAGCAAAAAGAGAGAATAAACGTAACGAAGTTATGTACGAAACTGTAAGGTTATATAATTGTGATTATCATTTCTTCATCATTATAGCCCTTCACAAGTCCACTGCTGAACATTGGCCTCCCCCAAGGAATGCCACAAAGCACGGTTCTGAGCCACCTGCATTCATCGACTTCCATCTAGTCGTCACTCCATCTAGTGCCCTACACTTCGTCCGCCGGTACGAGGCCGCCACTCGAGAACCTTTTTTACCCATCGGTTGTCGGTTCTTCGAGCTATATGGCCGGCCCATTGCCGTCAGAGGTCTATGTCGGTCACTCTCGTTCTACTGCGGATATTCTCATTTCTAAGTTTATCACGCAGAGAAACTCCGAGCATAGCCCTCTACTTGAGCTCGCTGAGCGACCTTGAGCTACCTTAAGCGAAGAAGAATGAAGATTTGAAATTTAAAAATGAAACACTGAACACGGCAAAACACACAAAACTTTTATATCACAGCGTAATTTCAGGTATGAGCCAACAATTGGTTAAATAGTCGTGGAGCGAATTGGAGCTGATCCAGCAGAAGTTCATTACTCTCGACTCATGATGACGGGTCGTAGCGGAAAACTGAAATAGAGACAGCTTTTAGTACATTAATTGTTCATTCTTAGTACGCCGTTCACTCACATAATATTATCAAATATTCTGTTGTTGTTGCCAAAATAATTGGACATTTGACACTAGTGAATGAGGGCTCTTAATGTTACGCTCAGCAGATGTCGCTGTAAGTAGTCGGCACTGAGGTGAACTTATTTGTTATATGTAGATGGTGAAACAATTACAGTGTCACCATAATTGGAAAGTAGCTATTTAATTATAAGGTTTTCACTTTTTAGTTTATGTATATACGCAAAACAACGCTGTATTCTTATTATTTTTTCTAAACATTTTTACCTTTTTAATTTCCTCTACTTTTAAAATAATCTTTAGTTAGGTTTATCAATTTCTAATCGAATTCTATTATCTTCAAATATAACTAAAGAAAAGATCCACCCCTAAAGGTGTAAAATCGGGGTAGGAGTTTTTGTTGTAATTAATGAGACAACACTGATTTTTTATCTGTTGAGTTTGTGACATTACTTATTCCACTCAAAAGAGTAAAAACTGCCCCCCTTTTCCCTAAAGAGGGTCGCTTCCGATTCGACAGAAAGGCTACAAAAGCCAATGCCAGTCTCACAGGTGGTGTTTAGTGGGTAGGCACTTAGGTTAGGTTAGTCGTAGTGAGTCCCACATAACCACAACAGCCGGCTGTCGTGGTGTGCTTAGAGCATTCACCACCTCCCTTCCTCGCTTTCCGGAGGGTAGCCCTTTCCATTGCATCTGGGCGCAAAAAAAGAGTAAAAAATAAACTTTTAGAAACTAAAAACCGAACTAAAAATAGCAAGATAATTTCCACATTATAGCTCCTAAAGTCAGGACTTTAATTACTAAGCCTTAGTTGATCATCCTCCACACAAAATGCCCCATAATAGGGCAGGTACTCATTTCATCACTTTCAGGATGCCGTTGTGACACTAGCTCGTAATTTTTCCGCCAATGATGCGTTTTTTTTGGCGGTGAAAGCATCCGTTTGATTTCTAGCAAACATCTGTGAGGCACTGCAGCAACGGAGTAGCACATCCCTAAAAAAGGCGACCGCTCAGACCCATCCAACTATAGGCCTATCGCGATCACCTCCTTGTTCTCCAAAATAATGGAATCCATTATTAACTGCCAGCTCATCCGGTACCTTGAGGATCACCAGCTGATTAGTGACCGCCAATACGGTTTTCGTCGGGGTCGATCAGCTGGTGATCTTCTGGTCTACCTGACCCATAGATGGGCGGAGGCAGTAGAGCCCAAGGGGGAGGCGTTGGCCGTTAGTCTGGACATTGCGAAGGCCTTCGATCGGGTTTGGCACAAAGCGCTTCTTTCGAAGCTCCCTTCCTATGGGCTTCCCGAGAAATTGTGCAATTGGATCACCAGCTTCCTTGCAGATCGGAGCATCAAGGTCGTTGTAGACGGTGAATGCTCTGACTACAAGCCTATTAACGCTGGTGTTCCACAAGGCTGTGTGCTATCACCAACGCTGTTTCTTCTGCATATAAATGATATGTTGCTAACTGGTAACATTCATTGCTATGCGGATGACAGCACTGGTGATGCTCTATACACCGGCCGTGCCAATATTTCTCGGGAAAACGTCGCTGAGTACCGGAACAAACTTGTGTCTGAAGTCGAGTCTTTGCTGAACAAAGTCTCGGATTGGGGGCGACTAAATCTAGTTCAGTTTAATCCTCAGAAGACACAAGTTTGCGCGTTTACCGCTAAAAACAACCCCTTTGTCGTATCTCCTCAGTTTCAAGGCACTCCCCTTCTTGCCTCAGCCAGTATCGGTATCCTCGGAGTCGACATATCGAGTGACGTGCAGTTTCGTGGTCACTTGGAAGGGAAGGCCAAATTGGCCTCTAAAAAGCTTGGCGTGCTCAGCAGAGCGGGACAGTATTTCATGCCGGCACACCGCCTGCAACTTTACAAGGCGCAAGTTCGGCCTCACATGGAATACTGTTCCCATCTCTGGGCAGGGGCTCCCCAGTGCCAGCTCCTTCCACTTGACCGCATCCAACGCAGAGCGGCTCGAATCGTCGACGACCGAGCCCTTTCCGATCGGCTCGATTCATTGGCACTGCGAAGAGATGTTGCATCCCTTTGCATTTTCTGTCGCACATCACACCATCTGGATGATTGGCGGTCCACCACTGTGCGATTTAGAAGATGTTTTCTTCCTCGCACGACCTCCTTGTGGAATCGATTACCATCAGCGATTTTTCCGGACCGATACGACTTAGGGACCTTCAAGAAAAGAGCGTACTCCTTTTTAAAAGGCCGGCAACGCATCTGCGATTCCCCTGGTGTTGCAGTTGTTCATGGGCGGCGGTAGTCACTTACCATCAGGTGAGCCGCATGCTCGTTTGCCCCCTCTCCTATAAAAAAAAACCAGTTCTGATTATATTATTACAGTGGACGCGTAGGGTAGCCAGCGATCTTTTAGTGCAGTTGAACCAAAGTTTTCCCATGTAAAATACGGACAGTATGCCTTGGAAGGCGTAATTTTAACCTTGGCCCATTGATTTTCTCGCTGGGCCAACATGTTACCTTACCAGGGACTGCTACCATGGTTTTTCCAATCACTAACCGACGAGCATGTATGCGTAGGTATATGGATGTAAAGAAGGCGAGAGTGGTGTGTCAGGATTGTGCCAAGTGGAAGTCCGTAGTTTCTGCCTACACCTCTGGATGACAGGAGTGAGTTTTTATGTTATTATGTTATGTCATGAAACGTTTAGGATCGACATATTGGAATATAGATCGAAATTGAGGATCGATATTCGACTAAAGGATGGGCTAGCTTAAGCATGCCACTGGTCTCAAAATAACATTCGGCCAATTTGAAGTATAAATAGGTATTACCTCAAATTTCTGTAATCATTCGGCGCGCTTCCGGCAGTTGGGGCAAGTCCCCTGCTCCTGGAGCCAGGGCAGGATGCACGCCTGGTGGAAGTGATGAGTGCACGGCAACGTCATCAGCTCCTGGTCGCGTAGCATCACCTCGAAACATATCGAGCACTCCTCTAGGGTCCACGAACGCTCGCGACTGTAAGCCAAACAAGAGTGACTTTCTTTAAATGTCCCTAAGATAATAATGTCCTCCAGACCGAATTTCGGTCAAGGCGGCCAGTATCCACGGAGACCAGCTATCTACGCAGGTTAATATTATGGCGGCCATGTGTATGCCGCAAGCAAAGGCGGACACTGTATTCAATAACTGATAGGACGGTAATCTGACATGACCGTAGAGAGATTAGGCACAAAACCTAGAGGAAAAAGTGTAGCTTTACGTGCTTTTCTGAGGTACGGGGGGTTAAACACCCCAACTTCATGAGTCTGGAGTACTACTGACAAATTCTTGACAAAAAAACGTAATATCGTAATAATACGTAATATTTGTGACGTGGTAGAGCCATGCTGCAGCTATTAGTAGTATAGTTGTAGCACGAATGGGTCGGCTCGACCGGGGAAAGACCGCGCTCTCACAGAATATCAGCGTAAAATAGCAACTTAACACTGCTGTGTTTCGTATGGTGAGTGTAGAGAACCGGAGACCCTTTTTACTGGATAAGAGGCATTCCATTTTAGTCCTCACGAGTGACAACGCATCTGCATTTTGTATCGCAAATCAGTCTATGGGCCGCAGCAACCACTTACCATCAGGTGGACTGTGTGCTCGTTTGTCACTCGATCCTATAAAAAAAATCTTAACTCGCACTTACGACCACTAGATCAACTAGGTAATCGACGAAAAAGTTTATAGATTAAAGATATCCAATTGTCGACATTCAACAAGGTCTGAAAGAAGTTATGAGGTAACCACACATAAAAAACCGGCCAAGTGTTCCTAGTTCCTAGCCAAGTTCCGAACAAATCCGTAGGTATATAAGTTTAAAATTATTAATAATATTTTTATTATATGATAACTAAAAATTTAAGCTTTTCGCAATTTTTCCTTTATTTGTGCTATAAAACGTTGCTTCGTACCAAATTTCAAGATTCTGAGTTCACGGGAAGTACCCTGTAGGTTTTGATTCCCTTGCGAATGTCGAAAATTTGCGCCATAAACGGCTGTATCTTTTGATTGCGTTGGCTTAGAAGTTTGATTTTTTCACAGCTCCAAGGGACAGTAGATTTGAGTATTTGATATGAATTTCAGCTTGATACCTCCACGCGTTCCTGAGAAAAAGGGTCTTCACGGACAGACAGACAGACGGACAACAAAGTGATCTTTAAGGGTTGTTTTTTCCTTTTAAGGTACGGAACCCCAAAAATAACCGGCTCCTTTTTGAAATCGGTAGAAAAAATAATTGTATAAGTTTTAGTGTACCTAATTTATATGTATGTATGTGTATGTTTGTTTGTATGTATGTGTTTTTTTTAATGAAATAAGGGTGACAATCGTAAATCGCATAAAACGTAAATTTATAGAAAATAAATTCATTATCAATTCGGAAACCATAATAATGAAAAAACCAGCAAATAGTTTACTAAAATAATTAACGAATATTAATTTTATCCACTCACATGTCCATGGTTCGCGTCCCAACCTCTCTCTCTCTATTTACATAAACTATGTCACATTTACAGTGTTTTCCGCCCTTGAATTTAATAATCGTTATTTTAGAGACGGTAAAAAATATAAGAGACTATATTAAAGTAAAACAGTTGTAAATTAAGTAAATAATTAAAAGGTACTATTATGGTATTTTTCTACATTTCGTTGAAAGCCCTAGGGCAACCACGGAAAGATGTAGAGATAAAGTTTAATTTAGCTTGCTTGCGTGATTTATATATTTAATAATTATTATGTAGACTATTAAATCGTCGGCAAGTAGTCAATGTCAAAGAAGTGCAACTTCTATACGTAATACTATTATTTATTATGTCCCCACTAACGAAATCTCGTGAGCGTAAAATTACAAGTTAAGATATGTAAATAAAATTAATTTCATGTCAGTTTTTTATTACGCATTTTGTATGTCTTTCTTGCCATTATTTTTCAGCGGTTATCGGCACACCAAACCTATTAGATTTATTATTTTCAGTTGATTTGGACCGTGGACGCATATGCTACTCATATTATCCTCATGCATAGGAAGGTAGAATACCCTCACGTACATAATATGTACGTGAGGGTATTCTGCATTCCTTTAGTATGTGAAAGAAGCGACGCGCTCCGCCTCCGACGTCTTCGTAATCAGTCGGCCACTAGTATAATCGAGATAGGGCAATAAATAAATAGTAAAAGCCGATTTCAAACAACGTCAAAGGATAAAATTATTTAACCGTTTGAAGTCTGTGCTATGACATATTGTATTTACCTTTAGAAGAATTAACTAAGCCCCAGTTAATAATTTTATAGCATTTAATTATGAGTTACATTTACTTATTTTTAATTCCTGACGTTTCGGGCTCTTTACAGCACTCTACAGTCTTCAGTTGACCATGTCAAGTGAGGACTAAGGTGTCTGATGCCCTGATGTACATAATTTGAAATCCGTAAAATTATTTATTTATTTAACACTTCATACAATATGTTGTTTATTATGCGGACTTAATGCCAGAGGCATTCTCTACCAGTCGACCTTTGGGTGATGCAGCGATAAAAATATGAAAGTGTGTGAAACGCTAAAAGACAAGAAATTAATTTAAAGTATTTATATACAAAACAAAATAATACATATACCCATACATAAACTTACTTATCCTAAAATATTTAATGCATAGTTTATAAAATTAGTTTTATTTAATACTTGTATAGCCTGACCCACCAACATTCTTCTTGGTTGCAACAGTTTTTAATAAAACATTAATTTATTAGATTAATTTGTTAGCTACATTTCAAACCAATTAATATTAATTATGGGACATAAACAATTCTAGCAAATGTTAAAAAGAAATTGCCTAGAAAATTCCAAAAACCAGATAAAAGTATCGAGATAAGACCAAATTCCACATCTATAAATTAACATTAGAACTAGCGTTGCTATATCTACAGGGTTAGTTTAAAAGCTCCAAATTGAAAGCTTACAATGCTTGATCTCTTTGGATAGCCTGTTCCTCTCCAATTCTGTAAAGCACCAATAAATATAAAATATGTGTCTGTGATTTCAAATTAATGTATATCATAGAAAAAAGCTCTCACAAACAAAGAATGGGATTATAAATAGTGTTGGAACCGATAAATGTATTAGTGTTCGATAAGTTACCTACTAGTTATATTCGGAGTAGTCACAGATCAATTTCATGTTTATTAATATAGGTACTAACTGTTTAAAATTATCTGGCTGTATTATAATATTGCTTTAAAAATACTACTAATAAATCTTTAACTTCAAAAAAGCAGACCTACTCTTCTTTCTATTTATTTAAGTGTTTTTTATGAAAGTAACACAAAATAATATTAAATAATTTTGACAATTTTTACCTAAAGTAGAGATTTCAAACTCATGCAATGATAATTATAGTTAAATGATATTTTTTTTTAAGTAAGTACCTAATTCTATCATTGTTAATACTACTGTTGAAAACATCTTTATAATTAAGTTAAACGATTAAAAGGAAAAACGGCCTCAACTCACATTATTTAATTTTGGTGGTTTCTTGGACTAATTAGTGTTAATATAATGATAGTACCTGTGTATAGGTGACCTAGATCCTCTGGTATACTCGGAAAGACCTTCATCTACCACTACCCATTCATCAGCCTGAATTTCGTCTGAATTTGAGCTAGATGAACTTGAATTCATTGTAGTTCTCAGTGTCAACATCACATATCCTGTTTCGTAAGAATTATTCGCACTTCTTTGGTTGATGGCGGACCTCTCACTAAAGTTACTATTGTATGTTGAGTTATCAGACCCAGAATGTTGTTCTAAGCTAGTATCACTGTGATCGTCCATATCACTGTCACTGTAATCAGTATCTGTTACATATTGCTCAGATAATGAATTATTTGATTCAGAGCTATCAACTGTAACAATGGTCTCGTTGAATGTATCTCTACTACTATATGAGCAGTTAAAATCTTCATCCGCGCTTGACACTATACTGGTATCAGAGGTGACATCTTCAGATATTGTAGTATAATCATCTGAATCCACATCCATGTTGCGTTGTGTTTGGTCACAATTGGTACAATTTCTGTTATATTACAATATGAAAGTGTGAGTGATGAAATGATAATGACAAAGTAAAATGGAACACAATATGTAAAAAAACCCTGTACTTTCCATGAGGGTGCTATTGACCATTATGATATGAAGCCATTCATATAATTCTATTCAGAGAAAAATTCAAACATGTAAAAAAAGTTATTACGAAAATGAGGAAATTTACTTGGCAATACATGTGGCACAAGCAGCAGTTGGATAACAATATCTAGAAGTTACGACTTTGACCTTTGTTGACACCAGGTATAACTTATATTGTTCACTCATTAAATACAATGATTTAAAAAACGCAAGCATTGTTTGCCAACAAAAGTATTCTCAGATTTTAAATAAATTGTAGTAAAAAATTTTGCATGTTTTTAATAACAATAACATTTTTTGATCACATTTCATTCAAATCATTTTAATTTTATATTCATAACATATCATTGCAGTACCTATGCCACAGTGTGTTTTTACATATTGTATATTATCAATATTATATAAAAATGCACAATAAAACATTAAAAAAGTAGTAAGTACAAAACTAAAGTATTCATTAATTCATTACTGCCTTTCAGCGGTTTACTGATCAACATTGGCCTCTCTCAAGGTATACCACAAAATCTCCGGTTCTGAGCCACCTGCACCTATTGACTTCTTGAATATCATGCCAGGTGGTCACTCCATCTAATGGTGGGTAACTTTACACTTTGCTTAATGGTATGGAGCTGCCAATCAAAAAACTTTCTTGCTGATCAGTTGTCGGTTCTTTAAATTATATGGCTGGTCAATTGCCACTTCAGCTTACTGATTCATAAGGCTATGTCCTACCTTGGTTTAACTGCAGATAACATCATTATAGATTCTATTATCCTCAAACATCATTAGTAAAAAATGATAGTGAAAAATATATTTCCTTTAAAGAAGTACCAGTGAGTCTATAACATTGCTTTTTTTTATTTAATTCAAATACAGGGTTAATTTGAAATAAGAATATGAGAAAAATGTGTGGTGATCATGCCAGAGCATAGGGCTGCCAGGTTGTGCAAATAAAAATATTTCCTTTTCAATCTGAGATGCTATTTTTGGCTGGATTTAGAATCATGGCAAAGGAGTGGGGGAGAGAGGAGAGGGGAGGGTCTCCTAAACCCCAACACCACTCCCATGAAGAGGTAATACACCATTATACCACAAAAAGACCTAACATCATAATGATAACATTTATCTCTCTCCGGCCAGAGGGAGTAGCGGAGGTGTAACAAGGTGGAACAACTGTAAGGATTTCTGGGTGCTCATGTATTTTGGGACGGTAAAAAAACTAACAACGTAAGTTATGTTTATAAACAATAAAGAAATAATTATTATATACTTTACACCCAGAAATCCTTTCAGTTAAGTTATGTTAGAAAGCTGTGGTAAGAGTGAAGTGCAGTGCAGCTTCCACTACAGCCTTAGTGGTTATTTTTTTTCTATCCTTATAGTTGTGACAGGGAATACCTTCGCTTTTCACTCCCCCCGTCCTGCCAGAGATAAATGTTATTTATTTTGAGTTTAGGTATATGGGATTTTCATTTTAATTTTTCTCAAGACAGGTTTTTCATGGGAGTGGTGTCAGGGTGCAATGGACACTCCCATCTCCATTCTCCCCCACCCTTCACCTGCAACACGATTCTAAATTTTTCCCACTATTTTATGCTTCTTATCATTTAACTTTTTCAAATTGCACATTAGTGGTTGATGATTGGCTTTGTAACCAATTTATACAGAAAATATGACTTGCATAATATGATAAAAGTTAAAACTATCTATGTTAGTTAAAGTCAAACAAGATATGTTACTTCAAATAATGTGATGAATAGCTGTGGAATTTTGCTTTGGGCTTTTTGTTTCCTATTAACATTACAGCCATCATGCCAAGTCCACTTGCTAAACAAAAGGGGAGGCTTTTACAAATGGGGGGAGCTGGGGGGGGGGTTGACATTTGGAAGGTGTTGCTGCCCCATCACCTGAATAGGGTGACAAACGAGGACACAGTCCACCTGATGGTAAGTGGTTGCTGTGACCCATGGACATCTACATTTATCCTTGTTTGCGGATCAAAATCAATCAAAACTTTTTTGGAAAGAATCGACATCCCTACTGACATCGACAAACGACAATACAAAATAGCGTCAGTTTTACAGTAGCAATTGACATAAATATTGCAAAAATAGTTGATTTTCAAAATTTTTTTTCTCAAAAAATATATGTCTTCAAATGTTGAAACTTTGGCTTAGCTTTCCATTGACTCGTCTTCGTCGAGTTGGGGGTTGATACGTATTTTAACAGAAAAGTTACACTATTATAAGCACACACACAAAGTTACAACATGCGGAAACGTGTAATTATTGAGAATAAAGTTAATGAAAATCAATTATTCTTGCATTGTTTATATCTAATCCTACCATAAAACTGACGCCATTTTGTAATGTCATTGTCGTCAGTGGGGATGTCGATTCTTTCCTGAAAAGGTCGATTTTTAAATCGATTCAAATCGTAAGCTGATGTATAGATTCACAAAAAATCGATTTCTAAAATATCTATATTTTTTTATGTTTGCATTTATAATGTAAATATAATTCCATTTTATGAAAAACAAGAAAGATACCATAATAAATGATCTCTTATTGAAATTTGTTTTATTTTAACAGTACCAATTAGGGCAGATAACAAATAAAATTTAGGTTAGGTTCAACTTATGTCAAAGAACCGAATTGATTGACCCCGACGCCACCTGGTACGAGTCTGTCCCACCCCTAGAGTGGTTTTAAAGAGCCGGAGGCGCGTAGGGGGAGCAGCCTCCGCCTGCTGTCCTCCTCGCCTCCGCAGCTTCGGCTTGTTGGTCGCCTTCGGCAACCAGCCTCAGCCGCTCCGGCTCGTCCGATGCCTACGATTTGTTACGCTAACGCGTAGAGGCTGCTCTTCCCGCAGCGCCGGAGACGTAGCAGTCTCAAAATAGATACAGAAATCCTTCTGAATGAGTTGCCCTATATTTTATGATGAAAGGGATTTTTTTGTCATAAAATGGATTTATGTTTACATTATAAATGCAAACATGAAAAAAATATAGATATTTCAGAAATCGATTTTTTGGCAATTGATACTTAGTTTTAGTTAGTTTATTGAGCTTACAACTCGAATCTACTTAAAAAATCGATCTTATTTGGAAAGCATTGACATCCCTACTGACTATAACAATAAAAATGGCATCAGTTTTATTGTAGGACAATAAAACATAAACAATGCAAGAATAATTGATTTTCAATAACTTTTTTCTCAAAAACTACGCGCTTCCGCATGTTGTAACTTTGTGTGTGCTTATAATAGTGTAACTTTTCTGTAAAAATACGTATCAACACCCAACTCGACTGGAGTCAATGGAAAGTCGTACCGAAACTTTGCGTGTGTGCTTATAATAAAGTAACATTTCTGTGAAAAAAAATATCAACCTCCAACTCGACGGATGTCAATGGGGATTGGTATAAATATTGCAAAAATAATTGATTTTCAATATTATTTTTCTCAAACAGTACGCATTTCCACATATTGAAACCTTGTGTGTGTGCTTATAATAATGTAACCTTTCTGTAAAAAAAATATCAACCCCAACTCGACAGACGTCAATGGAAAGTCGTACCCACAGCAGTGTTAAGCTGCTATTTTACACTGGTATTCTGTGAGAGCGTGGTCCTTCCCCGGTTGAGCCGACCCATTCATGCTACAACTATACTACTAATATAGCTGCAGCATGGTTATACCACGTATAACTAAATAAGTTTCTTTCTATAAGTATTATGTAATTATGTTATAATCATAATCAATATTAAATAAAAACCCATTCTATTCTATTCTATATCAGTAGTAATACAAATTAATTAATACAAAAATACTGAGTATATAGCAAATTGAATTTAAGTATCTCCCTTGGCATTACATTATTTGTATGTATTATAAAAGCATTAAAATATGAAGGTAGATAGCAACTTCTACAATCACACCATAAATAAAATAATATAGCAAAAACTGGAAATGTAGTTATTCAAGTACTCAGAATAGGTTTCTTACGCATAACCTTTAAATCGTTTAAAAAGGAAAATAATAGGTATAATTAAATCGTGGATAAAGAAATGTATCAAGGATACCTACTGTTCTTTGTTACAGTAATTTATTTGGAAGTTGAAATTATGAAAATTATTAATATTTTTGCTAAAGAAAAATGATGTAGTCTTACAAGGTCTCAGTTTGCCATCCGGAAGCCGTGGACCCTTCGCTGTGCGGATTTTCGGGGCTCTTGCTAAAGAAGTAGTACAAAGCTGCTCCAACGCCGACGCCAATTGCAGCTGCTGCCAAGCCGAGCCCGCGACTAGAACAGCCGTTTTTCTGCCTTTCTTCTTCACGCAAACTCATTTTCTACCTCTACAATTTTAATGCTAAATGGTTTGTTTCTGTTACCCTTCACAAACGCATAACGCAATAAATTATTTTTTCAATACGTCAAAATAAAATTGTTGTTGTTTTTATTATTCGCTCGAGAGAGAGCAGGCAAAGGAACTATGCCATACAGCCTTGTCTTTAAACAAACAGCTTATCTTGAGAATCCATCACCATCAGAGCACTTGTTTCACCGTTTCCACTAATAGTTCACATGTGTAGACAGTTAATACAAAAATTCGCACCACTTTTACATATCAAAATCCCCTTCAAACTATTATTTAAACTATAATACAGGAGCAGCAAACCGCCACCGATCAAGTTTCCGCCAAAACTCCGTCAAAATAAAAATAACAGATTTATTTTTGTTACGTTTTTTTTCCTAATATAGGTAAAGGCCATACAGCTACGTCTGATACCTACTTGAACAGACATTTAATTAAATGTATTTATTCGAAAAATTATTCTCAGTATTTTTTTTTATAGAGGGATAAACGAGCATGCGGCTCACCTGATGGTAAGTGACTACCGCCGCCCATGAACAACTACAACACCAGGGGGAAAGCAGATGCCGGCGCCTTAAAAAGAATTGACACGTGTAAAGAGCTTAATCCTTTTTAAAGTGCCGGCATCTGCTTTCCCCCTGGTGTTGCAGTTGTTCATGGGCGGCGGTAGTAATTTACCCTCAGTCGTATTGGTTCGGAAAAATCGCCGGTAGTAAAAGATTCCATAAAGAGGTCGTAGTAGCTGATACTCTTTTAAGGACTTGATTGAAAGGTATTATCGGTGCTTGCTCTCGAGCTTCTTGCTCACAAAAGTTTAATACTTTTAAAATAATGTTTCGGGCATCACTTTTAATGGCTTTCGGCATTAACTTCTTTTATAAACTCTCAAAACAGCAAAATTATTTACAGAGCACAATGACGTCTCGAGTGACATTTGGTTAAATAGCGGCTGTAGTTACAATTTTGCCGCAGCTGTCAGTTCACAGATAAGTTGGTGGCTATAGCTCAGGCAGTAAGGGGATTGCCCTGAAATTGAAGAGATACGACAAAGGGGTCCTCTTATATCTTTTTATGGTTCTTACAGAATGCTGATGAATCACATTGCGTATTTTTTAGGAGATTAAGATTAAGACGACAGCTAACCAAACGGACAGTAGCTGAATGTACGTATTTACTCTAAGGTTGAGTAAGACATGCAGCATGTCGATGGATGCAGGTGGCTCAGGACCGTGCTTTGTGACATGCTTTGGGGAAGGCTTATGTTCAATAGTGAACTTGTGAAGGGCTCTAATGCTGATGAGGTAGGTAAATAAATATATCGTAGGTTTTTTTGCAAGTCAATAAAAACATGAATGAATTTATAAAACGATGATTATTAAATAAACACAAAAATCTAATTAAGTGATTGCCTTTTTAAAAGGTTCAATTTATTATACGGCTGTCTTTTTGTTAGTTTTATCGCAGTTTTGTGAACCCGAGTTCAAGGCAATCACTTAATTAGATTTTTGTGTTTATTTTTCCTAATATCAATTTATATTTTTGAATGACAGCACGCCGTAAATGAACCAAATGGTTGCTGCATGGCGATTGATGAAATAGGTGTTCATGAAGACACGTTAAAATATATTTGTCTATGAACAACTTTAAGGTCTCAGTAACTAAACTAAGAGTTATTACAATGCTATTCTTTTTGGAAGATATGTTTTTTTTTATATGTTGTTTCCGCTTTTATACAAATGTTTATTACGTCATTTATAATATCCATATTTAAGACCATCTCTATATTTTATTATAATAGATTTATGAAAATGATTTCATTCTTCTGATAAGAGTGAACCTTGACATTCCTCACAAGTTGTCAGAAGACTATCAAGTCAGATTTTTGCGACAGGCAAAAATCTGACTAGATAGCCAGCTATGTAGAAAATCACTTGTTTTGATGGCTGAGATAGAAGAGTCAGGTAACGCCAAACAATTTCCACAATCAACTATAAACAGCGAATCTGTCATATCATAGCAAGGAACATACAGAACTTTTAATGTTGGGCTTCCCGTTGGGTCTTTTTATCGCTATCACCCACTTATTTGTTAATTCACGGCTTTCCGGAAAACGGAAATTAGATAAGTATTTAACCCCATTAAAGTAAGTTATGTTCCTATATAACAGTCTTTCTGAAAGTGGGCGATAACGCTCCCTTATGGGCGTTGGAGACCTAGAGGGGGGCGTTAAAAGGGCCCTGAAAAGAATGGGGGCGTTGGCGTGGTTTAGGGGGGCGATGGTTGATTTGTAATTTCATTTAGATACTTTATATTTTAAATTTTACTAAAATTAAAACCTACCTACTACTCAATATCTAATAATTAGTTTATATTTCTGTCCTGTATGATGGTTTATAAACTAGAAATACGTAACATAGATTTCGTAGGATAGTCCGTACGTTGTACGCAATGAAGTTTTTGTTAAAAAACGCTATTGGTGCAATCCTGTAGCAATCGGCTGGTTCATCGATACTTGTCTTAACTTGCTCAGTACGATTGAGTGTCGAAAGAGATAAACTAGTTTGTGCATGTTTATCTTATTCCTGTCGGTACGTGCTGTATTTAAATCCTATACAAGAGCTCGTAATAATTTTTATAGTTTCATTAGTGGTTTCGCGCGCAATCTTTAAAAGAGTATTTAAGTTTAACACTTTATTTACATATTTGTAAAAACAAAGCCGGAAGCAAAAAAGAAGAGACGGCAATATAGTGCAGAATATGCATTCATAAGAAATTCGACAAATCCATCTTTGCCTTTGTGCCTTCTTTGTTCAAAAACATTTTCAAACGAAGCGATGAACCCTTCAAGACTTCAAGATCATTTGAATAAAATGCATCCAGATATGAAGGACAAAAATATAGCCTATTTTCAGGACCTGGAAAAGAAGCATAATGCTCAGCCTAGTGTATCAAAACTTTTTTCGGTGGCTGCTAAGCAAGACGATGACGAACTTCAAGCTTCATACAATATCTCTTTGTTCATTGCTAAAACAGGTAAACCACATACCATCAGAGAAACGTTAATTTTGCCGGCAATAAAAGAAATTATAACTACTGTGCTCCATAAACCGGCGGCAGACATAATTCGAAACATTCCTTTGAGCAATAATTCATCTTTGTCAATAATTCAATAATTCATCTGTGTATCGATACTTTGATGTCGACGCCGAAGATTCCGCTTTGGGCTGAGGCAACAAAGGAAGTGCTCTGAAATTGAGGAGATACGACAAAGGTGTTCTTTTTAGTGGTAAACGCGCAAATATATATATATATATATATATATAGTCCTACTCCTCGCGGTATCGTGCCAAGAACACTGGCTGCGTTTCCCCGCTGAATGACTAATATTCCCTATTATTATATCGTAAAACATTACAAACTAAGTAACCTTCAACAAAATTATCGATACTTTGATGTCGAAACGGTAACATTCCTAAAACGGGTTTTTGCTTTACATTTACTAGCGTCACCTACTGGGGAATAGCTGAAATGTTTTCCTAATAAATATTAAGTGTAGTTTTGCTATGTTTAGCTAGAGAGCGTCACACACGTGCGAGCTCAACAATCAACATGTTTGTATGCAAATGTTCATAATGTCTATAGTATACCTATATATTTAAATATGTTTTATAGAAACCATGTGTTCTGTGTTAGAAACTAACTCTACGCGTCGCGTTGTAGCAGGCGACATGTGATGTGGACGTACCGAATGTTTTATTAAATTTTGATCAGTAATCCGAAGTAAAATACCAGTTTGCGTAGTGAAACTGTGTAAAAATAATACTACAAGAAATAAGAAAGACACTGGGATCACATACTATCAGTAAGTATCATATAATTTCGAAATTATAACATAAAATAACACAAGCCACTTAGATTAATGATAGGTCATCGCGCGCTCTGACTAGATACCGCGCTACTTGAAAGAAACAGCTCCGTGAATAAGGCTACTCAATATTCTAGTGTGTATAAGACAATTGCAAGGATGCTAGTGTGCGTGAAAAATTGTATATGCCAGCAGCTTAACTATCACCCGATTAACGGGAAAAATTATTTTATGCTATGGCTTAATAGTTAAGTTCATAGTTGACTGTAGACCAGAAATATTTAAAAATGAATAATTTATTAATAGCGAATGTATCAATATATTTATGTATATTATGTATAGGTTTTTCTTCTGAATAAATTGCATATAAATGATAAGGCCTCATTTTTAACAGTTTATTTTTTATATTTAAATGTCTGACTAATATTCACAAATTATTTAAAAAAATAGTTATATATTATAATATGGTGTAACGAAAATTTTATTTTTATTATATGTTGTTATAGCAATAATAGCCAATACACATTCTGTGAAAATTTCAAGTATCTACATATTACGGTTCATAAAATACAGCCTGCTGACAGACAGACGGAACGATAGTAGAAACTTAGCTCCCGTTGACACTCTTTGGGCACGAAACCCTAATAAACGGAAATAATGTAAATAACAATTAATAAAACAACATATAAATATTAGGTCATTTGAGCAATACTACAAAAATAAACATTAAATAATAGAATTAGGTTATATTTTAATAAGTTAATTATATTATATTATAAAATATAGTAACAATAAATTCACATATAAAAATCTTAGCCACGGGGAACTTTATTTTTGTATACGCGGCAATACTGAATGGCGTCAGAACCGAAGAACCTTTTTACTGGAAAAGAGGCATTCCATCTTATTGGGGTTTGGATTGCAACGCATCTGCATTTTGATTCTTAACCGAAGATAGAAGTAGATGTCTATGTGCTCGTTTGTCATCCTAATTCCGTAAAAAAATCTCAAAAATCAGTTATTCCATACAGAATTTCGTACAAACTTGTTCAAAACGTATGGAAGAACTGATTTTTCTTGCGATTTCTAAGATAGATCTATAGTAA